TTTTTTTTTTTTTTTTTTTTTTTTTTTTTTTTTTTTTTTTTTTTTTTTTTTTTTTTTTTTTTTTTTTTTTTTTTTTTTTTTTTTTTTTCCCCAAGGGAAAAAAAAAACCCTCTTGGCCATGAAAATAAAGATGAGATGTGGCTTTTTTGCTAGCCCAGCTGTTTAATGTCAGTGACTGACTTTGGAGGCATTTTAATTTCTTAAGGTGTAAAGGTCAAGCTAAGAATAGTAGAAGGCCAGAATGTAGCAGTAAATGTTAGCAGACAGTTTAACTTTCATGTCCTGTATCAGTTAATGAAATCAAGAAGGCTCTTTAGACTTTTCACCTTATTATACTGTGATGTCATAAGCTACTGCTAATTTATGGGTTGCGCACTAAGCAGAAACATGATTTAATGTCTGTCCTTTCCAGTTTTTGTTCATAGTCATGTAAATTGTTCTGCTTTCAGAGTCTGTCCTGAGAATATTTATCTTTCAGACAGAATTAAGGGCCAATGAATATGGGGTTTTAGATATTTCTGCTCTTTCTAGTGCATCTCCCTATTAGTAAAAAGAAACTGCCATAGCTTTTCTGAACATTCTACTTGAGATAGCAGAATAGGATACATAGATAGGAAAGTAGATAAGAATATAGAGAGGAAAGCCACATTTCTATGGTTTTTGTGGCCTACAGCTTCCATTTCTGAATATTTTCAACAAGTGGTTGCCTGATATATATAGATATATAGATATATAGATGTATTCAACAATTGACTCCCTGTTGCTCTGAGGAAAATCCCTTTTTACTTAATAGAAATGTTTACCATTTCATTTCTGCACAGAAATGCCCAATTTCTGCAAGACACGGTGAGTTCTCTGAAAATTCAGGAGAGAAAGACTGAAAGTAAAAGTCTTTTAAGTCAGGCTAGTTTTGAACATACCTTAGAGTTTGTTCTTGCTGTAGGAGAAAGACCTCCAGGCCTTTTGAGATCTGGCAGGATCTCTTCTGGTGGTGTCTGGGGATACTGTAGGTGAGAAGGAGCAGCTTCAGTCCCTGTCTGATGGTGACAACAGAGCTCCTTGGTTTAACTGGGCTGGCCTCTGGATGTTGCTTTGCTCAGGACACTGGTGGTTCCCTCAGGTTTCACTGTGGATAGCCTGGAAAAACGGGAGAAAAGAAGTCAGGGATGGCAGAGTAACACGCTCTAGTCATACCTCACTACCCAGGGACAGAGATTTTTACAGAGGCCTGCTGGAACTTTGGATGCAGACACTGAATGTAATTGAATCTAACACAGAAAATACACGATACAGAAAATTCCCCCCCGTTTTCTGGCACTGCTGGCATCTTTGTGCTCGTGTAGAGCTGGTTGTGCATGGAGGCCCAAACTAAAATAACATAAACCTACAATTCTCTGAAATCCTGCCAGTCAGAAATGCTTGTTTCACTCTGTGTGGGGTGTGTGCTTTTATTGCTCATTAACATTGTGTAAAAATCATCACACAGGTGGGAAACAGGAGGATGGACAGCAGCCGCCAGGTAGAGTAAGAGTTGTACCACATCAAATAGAAGGCTGAGGCTTTTAGCCAGTGAGCTTTGGTGCAAATCAGGGGTGAACTGCTGATTGAAATAATTGTCTTCGAATCAGTCCAGTGAAATTAAAGAATGATTTCAAATCAACAGGATTGTTGGGGGCAAACCTTTTAGTGTGCGTGCATTGTCGGTGTTAAGATTGGCAATCTTAACGTGAAGTTTGAATAATCAGCAATTCTCCAGAAGTAAATTACGAAATATTGAATGTTGGAGTCTGTGATTTGCTGTGAGCAGCTCATGCTGTGCTGGTTAGTGTGGGCATCCGAATGGAATGACAAACGAGCAGGAGTAGCAACACCAGTTTAAGTCGTCGGCATCACAGTAATCAAATCTGCAACTGAGATTTTCATGAATGCGCTTACACAGGGTGTGTTTTTAAATCCTCTGTCCTGTTTATTTTCTCCTCCCAATTTGTCACTTGTAAATCAAATCAGACTATTTTTTTTCTGGAATAACAACCCAGTACGGTGTAAAACAGCCCCTGTGGGGCAAGTACTGAAGAAGTTTGAGAATCTCAGTCAGGACTCATTGTATTCCATTGTGAGCAATTAACCAACAGAAACAAAACGAAATGAGTTCTATCTGTAGGATGAATTTTCCCAACTCTGGTATAAAAACCATAATAAAATGATAAAAGATTCTTGTAGTTTTTCACTTTCCTGTTAGGAGATATTTCTTGACCTATTTCTCTAATATGTGGATAATTACTGAGAACAAAAAGTGTTTGTTTTCTGATACTTTTTTTCATTTCACCACAAACCAGGAAATATGTCACATCCATTCTGTCCATTTAAAAGAACTCATTATTCTCCTCAGGGCTATATTAGCCATTTCCAAATAAAATCTGAGAAAATTTAATGTTTCTACTCAGATCAATATGCATATTAACCGGGTGATGACAGGTCATAGACACGTTAGACTGGAATGTATCAGTCATGACACGTCATAATGTGCAACATTATATAGAATACAAAATATGTAATGTTTAGTACTATGTAGTAGTAGGTACATGTAGAGATAAAATGAATATTTTAAATGGATATTTTGAAGCTATCCGTGTATTGTGTAAATTAATTAACTCAAAAGGAAACTTTTCAACCATTTTAATATTTGCATAACATTATGTTGAAACACAAAAAATAACTTGTGAAAGGACTAAAGCAGTGTGCATAGTGCTGTGTAGTCAGTTATCATCAACTTTTGCTTTAAGTGTTTCATATTTATTTATTATGATTATTGTTGTTATTATTATTTCATGTTTGAGTTTTTACCTTACTTTGTAACACCTTTACAGCGTCATTTTGCTTTTGAAATTTATGTTAATTAATTTAAACTGGTTTGATTTTGGAGAAAAAGTGCCATGGGTGTTTGGGTTTTTTTCGTTCTTTGTGAGCATTTGTTCGTGTTGTTGTCATTATTTCTTATTTATTGGTTTGTTTTTGTTTTTGTTTTTTTTTTTTATCCATTATTGCTCAGTAGATTCTTCCCATCCCTCCTCCCACCCTCCTTCAGCCACAGATGGTGCAGCAGGTGCAAATGCCACTGATAATGCAAATGCCAGCTTAGTCAATGGTACGTCACTACCCCCGGCGTGTCTGATTTGAGAGATTTCTCTCCTGACTGTGTCACGTTCCCCCTTCCCTCCCAGCCTGCACAGATGTTGTGTGTGCCTCTGATTCCCCTCTGAGAGATCCTGCTCCCTAAATTCTGCAGTAGCTTAGCAGAGATGCTACAATTCCATTCCCACCGAATCGAGGGCGGCAGAGGAAGAACGAGGAGTTGTGGTCTATTTGCCACTAAAACTGCAATAAAAGGTGCAGTTATGTAAGAATGGCTCCAAAAACTTTGAGTGGATTCACCTGAAGTTTCATTGCGAAAGTCTGTGCTCGTTTCTCAGCACAGATCTGAAGAGGAACACCGTGATAAATGCATGATGTTTGCTTTTCCTCTGGTGTGGCACTCTCACGAGTAATCATGTAGTGTTCAAGTAGTTCTGAGGAACAGTGCTGGGATCAGGAATCTGGCTCAATTCCAGCTAACACTGCATTAGGAACAACTTTTGCTGCTTTGAGCATCTGTTCCACAAGCAGCTGAGAAGTTTTGTGGATGTTTGTGTATGCCCTCAGTGATATCCTGCTAAGCCTGCCTGTATTTACTAAAACCAAACTAAAAAATTACTGTAGTCCATTTTGACTGTCTCTCAGTGCAGGTTCTTGACCCCACTTAGCATGCAGATATTTCAGTATCTCCTTCTAACAAGTCGAATTCCAGTATTAAATTGAATTGAATGGGTCAATATTAGTCTAGGCATCAGCTGTATTTTTCTACTAATCAGATACATGAGTCTTTATTTGCCATAGAAACCTTTCCCTCTTGTGCAGAGCCAAAAGTACTGACAAAAGTAATTTTACTTTTCATCAGGTTTGTGATGGAATTTTTTTTCCATGCAGGTCAGCAGTCATTGCATAATGCACATAAATGAGAGTTTCTGACAGAAATACCAACTGCTAAACAAGGACTAAAATGTACCAGTGCAGTGTCTTCTTTAAAGCAGTTACATAGGAAACATTTGAACCTATTTTTAAATATTTTTGTTATCATTTAAAAGAACCATATAACCAGATTTAAAACTCTACTCCTGCACAATCTGGAAAATTAGGATTTACAATTCCTACATCTCACTGCATGACAGGAATCTTGATCATCCTGGTTCCAGATTCCTTTGAGACCAAGAACTGGGAAATTAATGATGAATGTTTCATTCTTGATTCTAGCATAATTTTACTTGTGAGTTTAAAACAAACATGCACACACAGGGTCTTGCCTCCTTCATTAGCCACTTGATCCTGCTGCATTTCTGCTCAGCCCCGCAGGGCACAGAGTTAAACCCCTCTGAAATGCTTTGCTGGAGGAGAACTGAGTGGGTACAGGATGGACCCTGTTCTAACCCGGCTCTCAGCAAGCTGGAGTTGCCTGGTAAATACCTGTTGTGTTTGGTCTTGATGCCTTGAACCTAATAAGGAAATTGAGTTCCGAGGGATATTAAATCAGTGTCTGAAGTAGGTGATTTCCTATCCTCTCTCCCAGCAGAAACAATGGTTACTGCCCCTGTTTATCTGGAGAGATTCATCCTCGCTGCTTTTCCGTGCACAAAGGGTAGAAGGCAATTTTTTTTTTTTTTGTGCAGCTGATTTGGTTTGGCTTCTGAGATGAGGCAGTTCAATTAATTCTGCACACCTTTGATCAGCGTGGTTGAGGTGTGATGAAACTCATCCACAAATCAAAAAAAAACCCAAACCCATATCAGCTACTGTACCATTTTATCTAAAGTCTAATATCTTTGTGTAGAAAATACCATCAAATAAGAAAAAAAAAATATACTTGAATAAATATCAAGCTCAGGAAGTGTTTGTTACTTGAAAACCAACTCATTACCATTGCAGATAAAATATTTTTTTCTTAGTTGTCAGTATACAATTGACACAAAAGAAGTGTTTTGTTTTCAGTCAGTGAGCCTATAGTGATAAATTCATACAGCTTGTGACACAGCCCATGTACTGAAGGAACTGCTGTATTGAAGGAGCTGTTATATATAATTCTATTTGGTTCTAGGAGTTGAGATCAAAATATATCAAAATTGTTGGAGGTCTCTTTGTAGAAACTATTTTAAAAACTATGGACAATGTGTTCAGTTCTTGAAAGGTTGCCAGTTAAGGTTATAAGCAGAGCAGAAAATTTTGCAGAAAGGTAGTAATTCAGGAAAACTCACCTCATTTCAGAATATTATATTTAGTAAATGTAATTTTAAAAAATGAAAATCTGGGAAGAAGCAATGACTGTTTACAGCTTGTTTATCCCAAATTGGATTTCCTTCCAGTAGAGCACAGCCACCTTCCTCAATTAGGATTTCCACGATGGGTTGTTTGGGGTTTTTATTTTAAGGGATTTGCTACCTGAAATATGTATTCAGAAAATATGGAAATGGTATAGAAATACCATGACATACACAGAGAAATGTCTCAGCTAAAATATTTTGTGTCTACTGTAAATCCTGCTACATGTATTGAACTAGCGTTCAGTTCCTGCAAAGCAATTTGCAGTTTTAATGCATTTCAGAATATTGCCTGAATTTTAAGTGAAGTTATTTAGTGAGTGCATAGAAGAATTAGCTAAAATTTTCTGTTTGAATGAGTGGAATCAGGTTTTATTCTTTTGTAATGAACCTGTGTTTTACTGATGCTTTGGTTCTGCTGGAAGAATTCCTAATGATCCGCTTCAGACTTTTTTTGATGTCCTTTTGCCCCCAAATCTATATTTGCAGCATGTGCCTATTTTTCCTTGCTGCAGATTATAACTGACTTGGCAGGGCTCGAACTCATTTTCTTGCAAGATGAGACATTTTGGAAAATCACGGGAGTATTTTGTATTTTTTGTTCCATTGCAGCACACGAGAACATAATTCCAGTATTTTCTTTGGTTTATTCTAAGCAGTTCTTCCAATTTACAAATAATTTCTGATGCCAGCAGTAGGTCTTTGTTATTCTGTCCCACTGGCTCTTCATGAAGAGCTGAGACAGGTAAAGGGGAGTCTTTTCTCTGGAAGTTCATGTCTGTTGGAGTAAAAGCTTAGGCAGTAATGATGCCAAGAGTTCTTTCCAAAAGCCAGAGGTTGTAATAAGGCAAAGACAACTTGCAAAACGTTTCATATTCAAACTCAAAACCTTCAAAGCAACTGCAGAATACAAGTTATATCAGGAGGCTTGAAATTCCATTCCAAACATTCTGATTTTTCATTCCTTGCCTAGAAAAGTGATAAAAATAAACTTAGATTTCTCCAGCCCAAACACTGTTTGTTTAACTTATTATTCAAAAGGAAAGGGAGGAAAGATTTGCAGAATTATGTAAAAGTATATTCTATTTTTGAATTTTTTTTCCACATAATATTATCAAAATATTAAGAAATACTAAATATTTTAAATGTTTCTAAACCACGTACAAAAATGGGGTAGCATTTCTTGTCCTGGCACTGCCTGAAAGGAGAAAGGATCTCTCAGCAGTAATGATTCTATCACCTTTATTTCTGTCTTAATTTCTCCCTTTGTTCATAATTTATAACAAAGTTTAGCCTCAAAATTCTTTGGAACAGAAACACTCTGTTTACTTTAAAGCATTCTTTTCTTTATCCTAACTACCCAAATGACCTCTTCATTGTTATTCTGTCCAAATAATTGGACTGTAATTATCTGTGATGACTTTCCCCTCCATCCCTCAATAACCTAAATGCAGTAAGCTAAGAATATTAAGGATATATTCTTTAAGTACCTAAGTTTACATTGTTGTTAATGATTGTTTATTTTGTGTATACTGGTGGTTTTTTACATCAGTTGATAATTATGATACTCCTTTTAAATTGCAAATATATATCCTAAAGTTACATACTCTGATTTGGTTAGAAAAATAACCTCTGTTTGGCTTTCCCAGTTATCAAAGTCATGTTTGGGTTTTGGTGGTGGTTTGTTTGTTTGGTTTTTTTTTTTCTTTAAGTTTAAAGAATCTTCCATTATAATTCAAGGTTTTGAATTGGACTCTGCACAAGGAGCTCTAGAGCAGGACACGGAGCAGACTGTCTGCTCTAAATGAATATTTTCCAGTTCCTAAGGAAGGCTTTATGCTCTAGCCAGAAATCAGAGTCTCCAGAGATGCTTTATGTCTTCCAGTAAATTTATTAAAACCCCTTCTAAGAAAAATAGCCACTAGGCAGGTACCAAGTCCAACTGTGCGCTGCATGCAAAGATTTTCCAGGGAATTTCGCTGTTCAAACGAACTTGGTTTAGCTCAGGTTCATAGAGTCGTGTCTTGGGCCAAAGCAGAAGGCTTTGGTAGACAGATACTGATGTTTTAAAAGTCATGTTATAGCCAAGGTGGGGACAGAATCAGAAATATCGACAAGCAGTGGATGGTAAATGGTTTACTCAGTATTTCAGCTGAGCACTGAGGTGATTAAGGGCCATGAGTTGTCCTTTCCTTGGCTGTTGTTCTGGGCTTCAGAGTTTGACACTGTGGCCTATTTGTGACAAATTTGTGACTGATTTGGCCATTTCTGATCTTTTTTGAGAAGGCTGTTTTTAGTGCTCTCCCATGTAGTGAAAAGACAAACATGCAAGAAATTCAATTTTGCTTCTATTTATTCCCAGCAGAGAGTGAAAAAATTAGTGTTTGTGGGAGTCAGAAGGGCAAGATGTACCTGCTGTCACATTTTTTAATAAACTCTAATGATATATTTCTTACCAGAATATGACAACAATCCCGTAAAGGTGTTTTAACCTAATTTTCCTTAGCATCATTTTTTATTGTGCGTTGTACATAACCACAAAAAATAGACTGTCACCCATGCTGATTGCAATATTTGTAAAACTTGAATAGTCCTTTCCATAAGCTCATATATTACTGTGGAAGTTTCATAAGGGATTCCACCAAGAAATTTGGAATAAATTTGAAAAGTTTCAGTTGTTATTCTGAATAGGAAAGTTTTGTGTGCTCTGATTTGTATTTTACCATTTTTGTTTCAAACACACTTTCCAATGAAGTATTTTCAGTTTAAAAAAGGCAGAAATGACTAAGGAATTCTTAGTGTAGTAAAACTGTATGTAGCTAAAATATTAAATTGGAAATTATAGATAGACTTGGTAAATCTTTCTTTAGGATAAATCTGAATATAGGATGAACCCCTGGCCCTTCTATTTACAGAAGTAATTTTCTAAATAATACAACCAATTGAGGAAGATGTAATTTATTTATTTTTATATATATTAACGCTACTATTTCTCTCTTGTCTCAGTTTGCTAAACTAATGAATTTGATTCTAAGGAAGTCATACTCTATGCTGGTGGACCACAATTATACCTGCCAATTTTTTAACTCCCAGCCCCCTGAAACATCAGTTCAGGAACATTATTTCAATTCAGCTTTCCACTGGATTCTCTCTGTTGGTTTCACCCTCTTAACTAATGCAAGTTCCTCAAAAAACATGTGCTGATGTTTAGTCTTTACCATGTTAAAACACTAAATTTGACTGCAGTTCCTTGGATGTGTCCAGCTAAGTTAGCCATGGTTCTCAGTGAACGTGTAGAAACAAGGGGTCATTATTTAGTCCCTGTAACGTGTTCGTGGCTTTTGTCTGCCCATTTGATTTGAATTCCCATTTTCATGTTCTGTCTTGGGTGAAGATTGTTTACTGTCTGTTGTCTGTTGAAATTTTTCATCATATAGGCAAAATGCAGGATGGGAATATGGAGAACAGCCAGAACAAAGGTAATCTTCTTTCATATTAAGGAGGTGGTGGATTTTATTTTTAGCATGTAGTCCAATTCTGTTCAAAAGTCAAGTGAAACCCTGTGATTTGTGCTTGTGTGTGAAAATGGCCCTATTGTTCAAAGAGAATGTTAAAAAGCCCCACAAACCCTTAACAACCAAACCCAACCAAAAAAACCTGCCAAAGAGATTGTAACTTTCAGAAGCTTGATACGATCAGATGTTCAGGAGAGGAGATCAGTATTTTTAAGGTGCCATTTATAGATGTTACTCTCATCTCTCAAAGCTCATTTGAATTAATTTTTCCCGTGGAAGTTACGTATTGTTAGTGATTTTCCAAGCCAATTTTTTTTCATGTCTCATCCTCTTTTGTGTTTAATGGTGTCATATGGACATATTTTCTTTTGAAGGGACAGGGTAAAGCAATAATAAAAGGAAACCTTAAAGCCCAAGAGTTACTTAGCAATGTAAAAGGCAATTATAAGGATAAATAACAGGAGGAGTAAGGATCTTAGGAGTTTCTTATTTAATATACAATCTCAGGAAGATTGAAGTAACTATTTTGCTTTCTCTGAAGCAAAGTGGTGGTTCCTTTGTTACTCTGTGAGACACAACTGTCATGGGTTCTTTGGGTTATACCAAATTAAATGATAACTTTCTCTTCTCAGATAATGCTAAAGATTGCAAAGGTGATGGATCAGAAACTAAACAGATAAACTCAGTTGTTAATGGCATAAAACTACCAAATAAAATGCTGTTAAATGAATAATCACTGGGGTTAGTTAGGCAAACTAGATTTCCAGGTCAAATAAGCATGGTCTTGTACAATCTCTTCATGAATGTCAAAGCAAAGCTACTTCATTCTATTAATTTCTTGTGTTCAGTACAAAACAGACACATACACATATATAGACTGCAATGTCATTGCTTTTAAGAAACATGATACTAAAATAAAGTTTCCTTGTATTAGCATTCTTTCAGGAAAGGATGGCTTAGCTCTTAAATGCTGTGTGCTTTTTGTGGGACAGTGATGATTTCACCAGCATCAGACTCGTGGATAAGTCACTTGAGCACTGAATGCCAAGGAAACTTTATAATTCTGGTATTATCTAGAATAGTGGTTCGCAGAGGGTGGTCCCCTGGTCACTGAGGTGCCTGTGCAGCCCAGAGAAGGGAGCACAGGTCACCTGGTGAACCATCATTACCTTCAAAATGCTTTCTTTGGAGTTATGATTGCAAGGGTGCGTTGCATTCTGTGCCCCCCCCCCCCAAAATTCAGAGGAATACAAACCATCTCTCTGCCAAAGCATCTGAGCTCTGCTATTCTAGGAAATGCTGCAGTGCTGACACGCTGTGACTTGCCAAGTCATTTGCAAGACATGGAGTGATATATATGTGTATAACACAGAGTGTCACTGGTGGTTTCAAAAACCAGGGAGAAACCCAATGGTTTTCCTGCTCCTTGACCGGTTGTGCCATGGATGTGCCTGTACCCCAGGGGTCCCACAGGGCACCTGCCTGCCCTGGGAGTGGAGGGTAATTCTGGTTAATCACTGTCACAAGCAGCCCCTGCAGCAGATGTTGCTGATTGAATTCAGTAAGTACGAACGCTGAGCTAAAAAGGATGGAGAACAGCTCTGGAGTAACAGTTTTGTTCTGCATTATCAGCCAAGCAGCAGGACGGGGCTGCTGCCATGGAGATGCAGCCACTGAAGAGCGCAGAAGGGGGAGAGGGAGATGACAAGGACAAGAAGAAATCCAACATGCACAAGAAAGAAAAATCTGTCCTTCAGGGAAAGCTGACCAAGCTGGCAGTCCAGATAGGCAAAGCAGGTATGGCTGGGGGACTGACCAAAAAACACAGTGTTAATGACACCTAAGAGTTGCAAAGCAAAAAAATTTTTTTTTTTTAAAGTGACAGGCCTTTTTTACTCCAATGTTTAGAAATGGGTCACCATAAAACTGTTCTAAGGATATAACCTGGTATTGACAAACTTTTCTTCCTCTGAAAATAAGCTTTGACTGTCAAGAAACCAGAAGCTTTGGGCAATTTGGATTGTGATGAATATTTGAATCAAAATGAAAAGTAGCTTTTCTCATAGTTAATGTTCCCAAGCACAGTAATTACATATTTAATTTTCTCTCTCCTTAGAACTTTGAAATACACAGTTCCAGAATCTCTATAATCTCAAAATATCACTCACACAGAATTTCCCTCTTATGGATTCTGAAATCATTCTGTTCTCCCTTAATATCCATGTTCCTGCCTTCTACCCAAGCATGACACAAGTGTTGACTCTTTTACTCAGAACCATCTGGTCCCTGCTGTTGGAAGCAGCACTTCTCCAACATGTAGGTAGAAAGTGAAAACCTTCTGTGATGGCGCAGAGTTCATTAGGTTTGTTTTTCTGGTGCTATTGAAGAGATTTTGGTCTCTCTCCAGATCCTTGGCTGAGGTCCTACAACAGCTTCCTCACTTTACCTCTGCTCTATTTCCCTTATCCTTCTTCACCAGCCTGATTTCTACCCCACGTATTCCTTCCCCTTCCTTTTTAACTTCGTTGCAGTTGGTTGATCACAGAACCCCAAGATGCCAATTCTCGTTGCCTGCAGAGTGTGTGACTCCAATTCTGTGGCTATCACCTCTGATATGCAGTCAGTGCTGTGCCTGATTTCATATTGCTCAGGCTTCTCTCCTTTGTTTCCCATGATTTTTAACTTCTTAGATTAAGTACCTTTCTCCATTCCTTTGATTCTTGCTCTCTCTGATATCTCAGCAGGCACGTGAATGCCACTGTTAAAGTGACTGTTTAGGGACTTCTAACCACAACCTGGCAACTAACATGAATTTAATTAATTAATTATGGTCTCCCTTGATTTTTCTTTGTCATTGGGCAATCTATGGGAATGTCATGTGTTGTCATGAGTATTTGCCTGTATAATATTTTAATGGATTTTCCTGTATCCTCTGGCATATAATGATCTCCCTGACTCATCTGTTTCCTGTCACCCTTAGCATCCTTCAGCTTACCAATTTTTTTAAAGTGCAGTCAAGACATGAAATTCACAGTATTCTCCTTCTGCTGCACGATCCCATTAGGGAGAAATTAATTTATTCTGAAATGCAGGCTTAACTGCTTCACAGAAACCTGCCAGAGAGCAGTAATCACAGCGAGGCAAAGCTGAGGCTTTTTATACAAATAAAAACTCCAGTAGAGCTGGGAATGAAATTGTGGAGGAGTAGTGCTATCCTAGCAGTCTGTGCCATTGGGAGAGCATACTAAGTGCTTGGGATCTTTTGTGAATTCTGTGGAACTTTTATTAATGTCTTTACTTCCTTTGAATCTCTCCTCATAAGAGAACACACTTCATGCATGTCCCTTGGAAAAGGGAAACCTTGGAAACACCAGCATTTATCACATTTTCAAGAAACTTAGTTAAAAACTCTTCTGTGGATAATTCTCTGTTACTGCTCCCTTATATTCACCCAGATACATCCCCAGGGCTTTTCTAAAGTATTTTATGCAGCAACATAAACTATAGGAGGCTGTTTTTCTCAGGTCTCCTAAGATACATTTGTTAAAGAGAAAAGTGAGTGTTTGAATATGGATAGACTAGTAATGTGTAAAAGGAGGAGGTTAAAAGAGCAGACAAATGTTGTGGCAGGCAAAATCATGTACTAAATTGAAAAAAAACTTGTCTAAGTGACAGAGGAACTCCTGGAGAACTGGACTGGCTGGGAAGTTTTCAAGGCAGCAATAAGACAGTGCTTAAAAATGAATGCAGTGTGATTCAGCTGTTCTGTAGGATTCCGTGTTTCTTTATGCACTGGATGTAATGCTGTTGTAATTATATTATAGCAGTGTTTCTTCTTGTACACTTGATCATTAACATCATTATTGGTATTGGTGAAAAACATCACATAGAATAAGAAAATAATTTCACATCAAATTCCAATGGAGATTTCTAATTCCTGATGGTTTTAATTGTGTTCTGTGCTGTAGTAATGGATTGTTTCTCGTTCCAGGTTTGGTGATGTCTGCTATCACCGTCATAATTTTGGTACTATATTTTGCCATTGACACGTTTGTGGTCAACAAGAAGCAGTGGTTGCCTGAGTGCACTCCTGTCTACGTCCAGTATTTTGTTAAATTCTTCATTATCGGTGTTACTGTGCTCGTGGTTGCTGTTCCTGAGGGACTTCCACTTGCTGTCACTATTTCTCTGGCTTATTCTGTAAAGGTAAGAAACATTAAAAATAATCGTGGGAGAAAAATGCTGTTTGGTCAAGTTTACCAGAGAGTTGGCCCTCAGGTTTTATCAGGTGTGATGAAACTTAGTCTGCAAATTACATGCTCCAAATGTTATTGAGAGTGAAATTGCTTTAAAGTAAACTTATGCTGAAAGTAGCTAACAAAAATGTGAATTCATATGTTTTCTAATACACCTCTTTAAAACCACACAGTGCAGGAATATCAGGTAGTAGAAATACCTATTTGATTTGCAAAGAACAAGGAATTTATTGAGCAGAATTTACTCTGAGAATGGTCCAGACTTTGGATAGGGAGTAATTTCATGTTCAAATTTTCTTCTGCAATAGTACAAGGTTTTGACAAGGATTTGAAGTCTTCAGGAACACTTCACAAAGAAATTAAAGTTTCACTGAAGCTTTCACATACTTTTCTGAAATGCAGTTGTAGTTCTTTGAAGTCAATGTAAATGATTCTATTAGGAAGCTAAAGAGGATTAAAATCCTGGACTTGCGGATTACTTTAGCAATTTGGTCAGATGGGACTTCTTTAAATATTCTGGGAATCTTAGATGAAGATGAAGTAAAGTTTATTCCCATTTAGCGTGTAAACAAATTCTGAACTTCAGGAAGGAATATCTGGATTTCTCTGAACCCAAATTATTAGGGGGAAAAAGCCCCACATCTCAAGGATGACTGTTTGCTAACAAGGACTGTAGCTGCTTTTAAAATATTTTCTCATTCTCCTTATGTCCTTCATCTGACACCCTTTTCCCTTTTGTTCCCCTCTTTTTTCTCCTTTTCCCCTTTTTCTCCTTTTCCCCTTTTTCCCTTTTCCCCTTTTTCTTTTCCCTTTCCCCTGGATGTCTAGTCCATCTGTATGCTGCAATATCCTGGCATTCCAAGTATTACTAAGAAAAAATTGAGTATTTCCTATAATGATAATGTTTTAAAAATGCTGTTATTTCTGTTCTCTTTAACTAATCTTTGCTGTTAGAGCTTTTTCTTAATATGTATAATATTGCAAACAACTATGGAACCATTTCAGTTTATTAAAGGTAAAATTATCTCAGGGAGAATCAGAGCTTGGTTGTCTGTAAAAAGGGTTTGGGATATTGGCCCAGGTCAAAGTTCTAATTTAGGGAGCTTTATGTTTTCTCAAGCAACACTAAACACATTCTCCCGTGCTTTTTATAATTGACGTTGAAAATCCGGCAAAACAAAATCTTGAAGGTTTCTTATTTTGTGTTGGTTTGCTGTTTTGCTTTTTTTTTTTTTCCCTTAGAAAATGATGAGGGATAACAATCTGGTCAGGCACTTGGATGCCTGTGAGACGATGGGAAATGCCACAGCCATCTGCTCCGACAAAACCGGGACGCTGACGACCAACCGCATGACGGTTGTCCAAGCCTACGTTGGTGATGTCCACTACAAGGAGATCCCTGACCCAGA